ATATTGTCAATTTGTAAAATAACCCCAAATAAAATAATTTATTCAATTTAAGTCTTTATTTGACTAAGACTTTGACAAGTCAACATTTGACTTTTGACTTTAAAAAAAATGAGTAATGACACTCTGAGTATCTTTGTTTATATTATTTATTAGCTCATTGATACAGTTTCGTTATAGGGTCATCGAGTATATAGATTAGAGGCGAAACTGCCGATCTAGTAATTATTTTGAGTTGTGTTGATGACTAAACAATGTATTAAAGCCCTAACAAGATTTTCTTAAAAGGAGGGAACAAAATTTTAATGATCTCGGTCTGTGATGAAAACAATAAACAGGAGGACATTGATCTCATGGAGAATCTTGGTGTGAACAGCTTTCGATTTTCTATATCATGGTCAAGAATTCTACCCAGTAAGTTCGAATTTAATTTCAACTGAAGACTAATAATTATTTCTTCAGATACTTCAATCTGTATGGTTTACTATTAACTGCCTGCTTTACTTGGAAGCAGAAGGGCGTTATGGAAATGTGAATATAGCAGGGATCAATCACTACAATGACCTCATTGATACACTCCTTCATAAAGGTTGTTTCTGTAACTCTGTAACCATTATATATAATCGAAATACGATTCAGTAAGTGTCTAAGTGAACTGATATATCTGGAAGATTCGTACAAATAAAATAGAAATGTGAACATCAAAAGGAATAACGAGCTAGTGTATAACTTCATTCGAGTTTAAGAACAGAAACCAGTCGTAAATTCTATTATGGTACTTTCAGGAATCCAGCCATTTGTTACGTTGTGCCATTATGACATCCCTCAAGAACTTGAAGAAAGTTATGGATCATGGCTAAGTCCAGAAATACAGTAAGCCACTGATCTATTTTCTGTTGTATCATCTTCTTTATTTTTTATGACGACTTAAATTGGTCTCTTCTAAAATTCGCACTTCACCATTTCAGTCAGCAAAGTTTGATGCTTGAAGATCATCATGTCGCCACTTAATCTTGTGATTATTTTGTGAAGAATTCGTTTAATTGTGAGATGTTAAAGTTGGGACACTTGTGTCTAAGTGCATGTTTGGTTGGCAGTTGCGACTGAAATGTACAATGAAATACAAATTACTAAACAAAGCTTCTTGTGACATTTATTCTACATTTTTCAGGAGTGAGTTCGAATACTATGCAGATATATGTTTCAAATACTTTGGGGACCGAGTGAAGTATTGGATAACCATCAACGAGCCTAATGTCATGGCAATTCGAGGATATAGAACCGGCATTTATCCTCCATCTCGCTGTTCC